CTATTTTTGAGTGTGAACTATAGCAAATGCTTATATGAAAAAGCAATACTGGAGAAGTGTGTGGATTTTAAGTTGTTTTTAATGTAGTGGTGGTTTTGTATTACAGAAGCACCTAGAATTCCCAACTGAGATTCAGGCCCCATTGCACTGTATTCATATATTCATAGGGCTGAAGACCAGCAGGGACTATTAGATCATCTAGTCTGTCTTACTGCATAACATAAGCCAATACATTTCACTCAGTTACCCAGTATTCAGTCCAATAACCTGTGGCTGACTAAAGCATTTCTTCCAGAAAGGCATACAATCCTGTTTTGAAGACATCAAGCACTGGAGAATGCACTACTTCCCTTGGTAGTTTTTCCAGTGGTTACTTGTACTGTTAAACGTTTGTACCTTATTTCTGATTTGAATTTGCCTGTCTTCAGCTTCCAGCCATTGGTCTTGTTATATCTTTCTCCACTAGATTAAAGAGCCCTCTAATACCCAGTATTTTCTCCCTGTGAAGGTATTCATACGCTGATCAAGTCAATTCTCAATCTTCTGTTTGATAAACTAAACAAATTTGAGCCCTTTAAGTCACTCACTGAAAGGAATTTTCTCTAGCCCTTGAATAATTTTTATGGCTTTCTTCTGCACATTCTCCAGTTTTTCAACATTCTTCTTAAAATACGGACATCAGAACTGGACATTATATTCTAGAATTGATCTCACCAATGCCATGTACAGAGGTAAAATTACCTTTCTACTTCTACTCATTATTTTCCTGTTTATACATCCAAGAACCGCATTGGCTGTTTTTACCCTAGGGTCACTATAGTAGCTCCTGGTCAGTTGTTTATCCAGTGTGATCCTAAATCTTTTTCAGTCACCTGTTTTCCAGGACACAGTTCCCCGTTTTTCAGGTCTGGCCTCCATTCTTTGTTCCCAGATGTACAACTTTGCATGTTGGCTGTATTAAAACACATGTTGTTTGAACGGGCCCAGCTTACCAAGTGATCCATGTGACTGTCCTGTCTCTTATCATTATCTACCATTCCACCAGTCTTAGTATCAGCAGTGATTAGGATTATGGTTCCTGTTTTACAGAGGGGAAATGGATGCACAGAGATTATATGACTTGCTCCCAAGATCACACAGGAATTCTGTGACAGTGCTGAAATTGAGCCCTCATCTTCTAAGACCCAGTCCAGTGTCTTAACCATAAAATCATTCTTCCTCTGTAATGCAAATAAGCTGGTGGAAGTAAGGCAGAGGCCAGACAGCTCCAGACCACCAGCAAGTATGTCCCAGACCACTAAAGATCTACTGACCTCAGTTTGAGAACCTCTCAGTTAGATTACTTGGTCCAAAACCAGGTTTATATAGCGAGGCGTGTACTTGTGCCAGCCTTTTGAGTGGCCAAAATATAAGAATATATATGAAGAAATGACAAAAGTATTTCTTATGCTATGTAAGGAAAAGACAGCTACTTTCAAATCTGAATTTTGTTTGAGTTTGTGTCACACTGTAGTGTGTGGTACAGTGCCAGGCATCTCTGCTGACCTCTTAGATAAAATGAAGGCTCTTTCCATACGCAGAGAAAAGACCCCCACTAAGCCATACTGGTAACTCGTATAGGCAATGGCTCAGTGCTGACATTTCAAACTTTAGACTTAGCAAAGGGTAGATTTTAGTCCTAAATTGGCTTTCTGACAATAGGTGGGGAAGAAGGTATGTGTGTTGTTCAATCCACCTATTTGGTCAAAAAGCATCCCTTTTTAGAGTTCCATGAGGAAAACAGATTAAACAGACGAACCACACCCTTTTGAAAATGGCAGAATTCTGGCATATTAAAAGTTATGAATAGAGGGTTCTGTGGGTCCCTCAAAGGCTTAGTTAATTCAGATTCCAGAGAACTTCAGTATCCCATAGCTCATACTCACTTGATGTGCATGTATAACACTTATTAGTGTATTATATGTGCCCAGGAAGGAGAAAATATATCTAGTGCAGGGGTCGGCAACCTTTCAGAAGTGGTGTGCCGAGACTTCATTTGTTCACTCTAATTTAAAGTTTCGCGTGCCAGTAATACATTTTAACATTTTTATAAGGTCTCTTTCTATAAGTCTATAATATATAACTAAACTATTGCTGTATGTAAAGTTAATAAGGTTTTTAAAATATTTAAGAAGCTTCATTTAAAATTAAATTAAAACGCAGAGCACCCTGGACCATTGGCCAGGACCCGGGCAGTGTGAGTGCCACTGAAAATCAGCTTGTGTGCTGCCTTTGGCACGCGTGCCATAGGTTGCCTACCCCTGATCTAGTGCTATTAAACTTGCTAAAGAAATATTTTTTAAGAGTCTGTGAGTGGATTTTTAACAGAACTAGTGAGTGAGGTACTCTGTTCACAGTACAGGCAGAGCAGAGGCAGTAGCAGTCCAAGCTTGTCCATCTTCCCACAGCTTCTTCTCCTGGAAAGGAACACTTCTATGAGTATTGTTCAATCTGCATTTCCATTCATTCCCTGAGTTGCAGAGCCTCCAAGAAGATGACCACTTGGAACAAATTTTGATGGTGGATTTTGTGACGTGGACATTTTACATAGGCCACCAGATGGTAATCTTTTTGGGTGGATTTTTACCTAGTCTAGATTCAAACTAGTGACCTAGAGGTGAAGGAGTGTCCTCTAAGACATCCTATTTGAAACTATTATGATCACTGCGTGGCACACAATACATGGCAGCACATCTGCTGCCTGTGGATTTTCTGTAGGTAATGTGTGCTTAACCCACATCACAGCCTGACACTGGGCAGTAGGTTCTTCAGTGTAACATGTAAACAAAACTCCATGTAAGGCAGATGCAGTAATCACAGCATCATTATGCTGAATTGTAAATATTTAAGCTTAATTGCTGACAGCTGATCTTTAACAATTTCATTAAGACAAGTATGTTTTAGAAGCCTTATTTGTTTTTTGTTTTTCGTTTTTAGTTTATAATATCTTGGAAGCTGGGATTTTTTTTTCCCTTCACTGATTTTATTTTACTGGGAAAACATGAATGGCACCAAAATGTAACATTGCTGTTTAACCTCAGCTTTAGTTTGTGCATTTATTGTGTCAGAAACATCTTGGGTTGTGCACCAGCGTCACTGATTTCAGTGTATTTCTAGAAAGAGCAATATTTAGTGTATAAAGTGGTGTGTTTGTTTTTGGCTGGCATAGTGGTAGGGGGAACGGAAATACATTTTAAAAAGGGAAGCCCACTTAACTCCTAAACCAACCAGTTTATTATGTCTTTGTGGTAGTAACAATATACCAAAGTTTAGCTATTAAGTCAAATTCTGCCCAAAAATGTGTGTATGGCTTAGGATGAACAGGCACTGCTCCTCATCTTTGGTACCAGAACAAGTTTTCAAAGCAATGAAGTTTCAGTTGATTGTCTCTTTAAATAAGAAATGAAACTTGTAATCCCTGTATTGGAATATCAGTCATGTACCTTTAATTAGAGTTAAACCTGTCTCTGGTAGTTCAGATAGTGCTGTACAGTGTGTGTAATATTTAATTATGAAGGTAATATTTGGACCATTGTGTGTTCTTGGTGTTTATGGAAGTGTGTTGTGGTATTCAAGAGTATGATTGGTTTGTTCTGTATTGTATCCTTTATTTCTGCATGAAGGCATTACTGTCAGTGAACAATCGAAGTAAATTGAATTTCAAGCAACCAAACCATGAATGGAACGGTGAAGAATGACTTGCTGTTGGAAAACGTTTGTTTGCATTGGTAACAGAGTTATAGCTATGAGGGAGGCACCCTGCACAAACACATCTCTAAAACTGATCCCTGGCATAACACCCAATTTGTAATTCTTCAGCAAGTTTTCAAAGTATCATCAGTAAGGGCCCTGCAAATACTTACACACTTGCTTAACTGTACACATCTATAGTCCCACTGATACTAAATCAGTGTTGCCAACTCCAAATGTTTAAAAATCACAAGGTATTTCAAAAAAATGTTTTGGTTTCTTTTTCTGTGCCTTTGGGTTTTTGAGCTTTTAAAGTATACTTGGATCCCATTTTCAAGTTTTTCTAACCACAAGGGTTAGAAAATTAACCTTAAAAAAAAAAAAGCTGTGTCATATAATTACATGAGTACAGGAACTGGACATCAAGCAAAACCACAAATTTTGCAAGACTCATAGTAAAATCAGGAGAGCTGGCAACCTGTAATCACAATGGTGCTAACTGAGTGTGTAAAAGATACATATGTGCCTAAATGTTTGCAGGATCAGACCCTCTTGTCACAAACATAGGTAATATAGTTCAACCCTGTGGCAAGAACAAATGAGAACTCTGATCTTTGTGCTTTAGTGTGTCATCAGGCTGAGGTTTCTCATGTTTCAGTACTTGGGTATTGATTTACTAATTTGATTTTCTGGGGCATACGGTGGTGATGATAATGCTGCATAAGCATTATTTTTAAAAATACAATAATTATAAACTGGTATTGACTCTTTGCAGTGCAGCACAAAAGTATGTATGTAAACTGGTATCATTTATTTAAGTTTGCTCTCATCCAATTTTAAACAAATGGAAATCGATACTGGTTGCAGATACCAGTGACTGGATTGTAGGATGAAGTGGACTGGCGCTGTTACAAAGAATAGCCTGCAAAAGTTTAGATAAAATAGACCCCTATTGAGACATTTTTTTTTAATTTGTCATTTTACATGATTATACAAACTGTATGTTGCTTCCTCCTTTCTTGTCCTTTCTTTTTTCTCTACCCTTTAAGTAGTATATCTGATTTACTTATTTGTGTACATACCTATTGTGTGTTTGTGTATGTGTGTGTGTGTATATGTGTGTGTGTGTGTGTGTGTGTGTACACACACACACACGCGCGTTTTATAAAATTTCAGTCTTTAAAAAAAGTGTTCTTGTTACACTTGAAATTTCATCTTTTAATTGCAGGTGTATAAATTATATTCAGTTTATTTAATTTGTTTTCTTTCAGATATGTGTCACAAAGATGTCTACACGGAATTGCCAGGGAATGGACTCAGTGATCAAACCCCTGGACACAATTCCCGAGGACAAAAAAGTCAGAGTTCAGAGGACACAGAGCAGTTTTGATCCATTTGAGAAACCAACTAGTCAAGTGAAGAGGGTCCATTCAGAGAACAATGCTTGCATTAACTTCAAAACTACATCAGCAGGGAAAGAATCTCCTAAAGTCAGACGACATTCTAGTCCCAGCTCTGTAAGTGCATCTGGCTATATTATCTATGTGATTACCAGTATCTACACCAAATGCATAAATACAGTATATGTTTCTTACCTTTGTAAATGAAATTCAACACTTCTTAAAGCATTCCTCTCAGATTAAAACTAATGCATTAAAAAAATGCCTTTTACTGTTGCTACTAAAAATCTAAATTACATTTCACTGTTGTGTTTAATTTGACAATTATCTCAGCTCTTGGGCAGTTAGTTTCACTTGTTTATGGACAGTTTATGGACAGTGTCTAATCAATTTAACTTTTAGGGTCTCATCCTCAAGTACAATGCTGAAGTATTTGGATTGCTAACTTTGCAGGGGAATGTTTATTTCCAAAGAAAAGTTGTTTTCCTAGAACGTCAAACAAATGAACACAAAACTCCCAAAACAAAGTAGACACATTTATTTTGGACTTAAGTTTTATAAAAGTATATTTCTATTAAACCTGGATGTTGGGCCAATTTTGACTTTTTTGTGTACCTTTTAAAATCCTCTTATTTTAAATGGAATATATAAGTGAAAATAAGGTTACTGTTTTCTGACAGAACCATGCTGCATGTGGAAAAAATGAAAGGATTTTTATCAATGCAGTATCATGTTTGTTTTCCTTATGTGGTGTAATATTTTGAAATTAGGTAGATAAATAAAATGCCATGTCTTTCATGAATAGTGCCCAGACAGATGTCCCACAAGAGACCGTAACAAATTATTGAAAAAGTGTATCTTCTTTTTACTGTAGTAGGATAAATCCATAATAGTGTGACCTTTTGAGATAAAGATTACAGATTCAAGGAGAATTCAAAGAACGCTTCAAAAGTTAGTTGCAATGAAAGTGATTTAAAAGGTTGATTGTCTTTTCTGCTGTCTTTTCTGGATCAGGCAGAATTTTGAGAAAATTCTGTTTCTATGAAGAAATGAGAAAATTCTCTTTTCTAGAGCTGAGCTTTGTTTAACCCATGTGAATTTAACAGATAAGATATCATGCCCTTTGGAGGATGTACTTTGTAGGAAAGGTTATATTTTAAAAGGAACTATCTTTAACAAAAATAAATTTGCTTTTCCATCATGGTGTCATGTTATACAGCCTCTGTCACCGAAGTCTCCCACATGATCCAAATCAATCCGTAAGAAAGAGTTCTTCATAGTGTCTGCTTAGTGACTATAGTCACCACCACCATCACATTGTTTAATGTTTTCAGGATAGAATGGAGCTTTATAGTTATTTCTCAGCTTCTTTGTTAATACAGTGTTTTTCTTGTATGGGTCAGTTTAGGCTCTTCACCTACAGTGTATCCAGTGCTCTAATCTGGTTATGTAAAATAAAAGGTAGGTTTATTTACACACAATAGCATCAGTATTAAAAGAAAATGAACTAGTCATACAGGACACACAAAACCAATATCTGATAAATCAAGATGTAAAGTTTAACTTAATCCTGACTAAGGGCCCTGCCCTTCTCTGATTGAAGACAATGGCAAAATTATTCGCTGGGAGCAGCATTGGGCCTTAAGAAACTGCATGACTAAATAAACTCTCTTCTCAGAGATCCCACGTGGAGAAAGAGGTTTGTATATGAGAGAGAGAAAAATCTGGTCCTTCTAACTGCTATCCTAGACTAGCACCATCTCTTAATGACTTCTTTAGTGTAAATATTTCTTGGTTCTGAAGGATTTATGGACTCCCAATTCTCATATAATCATAGGAATTAAAGATGGAAGAGCACTATGTGAACTTGAAGTCCATCTATCTGATGATGCTGGATTGTTTCCTAAAATACATATTCTGTGTTTTGTTCTGTTTATGTCTGTTAGTTTCAAAAGTTGCAAGCAATGGGGACTTCATTGGGAGATGATTTGCCAGCCTAATGTTACTGCTAGGGAGCTTTGCCTAATATCAACCTAAATTTTCTGTTTCTTAACGTTTTCACATTTTCTCCTATATTAACCTCTTGTAGATGTCTAAATAATGCCCATTCCTACTGAGTGTTTACAGCCTTCAAATATTTGTGGACTTCTACCATGTATTAGTTGTCATCTAAACAACTTGATGGATATAAAGGTTAACGTAGTTGTTCTTTATTAATCAGTTCCCTTGGCTTCCTAATAATTTTTGTCGCTAATATTCTTTGAACTTCCTCCAGTTTATCAATATATTTCTGTTAATAAAGTGTTTAAAATTAACATTCAACCATATCAGAACTGTGAAATTATCCTTTTCAAGCACATCAAAGTTGCCCTGACCTTTTTTCTTCCCATCTCCTATCACACTGGAAATCTGCATCTAATTCGTTCACCACTATTAACCTTAAGTTTCTTTCAGCATTATTGTTTTTCAGGTATTTCCTGCTTACTAAATTTGTTTGAATCGTGTTTCCGCAACTGTATTAGATTGCATTTTTCTAAGTCCCAAGTCATTTTGTCTAGACCCCTTTGTATTATTTCCACATGCATTCTGCCCAGATTGATTTTTGTACGTGTTCATGTTTTCCAAGTACTCTGGGATGTTCTTTATGCGTACTGACTTTGACAGGCTTGTATTTCCTACTCGTTCAAACTTTTGTTCTTTATTTTCTTTCTAAAGACAGACTTTAAAAAGAAGTTCCAGTTTTTTAAAATAATAATAAAAAGCTCAGTATCGCCACCATTTTGGTTTCACATGTTTCCATTTATTAATAGACACCACTTCTCTCTAGTATGTCCTTCCTTCCCCAATTTTTATTTAGAAAATTCCCTTCCCTACCTTTTGACTAGCATTAACTCAGTCTCCCTTTTCCATTGCCTTTATTTCTACCTGCAAACAATTAGCTGATTCTGCTTATTATTGTTTGGCTGCCTCCCCCTCCACTTTTCTAATTTACAATTAAGAAAAAAATCATATTTTTGAATAGTCCTTTCATGAAGTTACACTGATGGCTACTTCTTCTCTTTCAGAAGACATGTAATGTACTGTGCCTTATTTATGGAGTTTCCTAACAGTCCACATACTCTTTCCAAATTGGTAGATTTCAATGCTTTCTGCATTTTTTCTTTACTAATTAGGGTACCAATCCTGCAAGTGCATAGACACAAGAAGTCTTACTGATTTCAGTGCGACTGTTAATGAATAAAGTAGGGCTGTTCATTAATCGCAGTCAACTCACGCGGTTCAAAAAAATTAATCACGATTAATCGCAGTTTTAATTGCACCGTTAAACAATAGAATACCAATTGAAATTTATTAAATTTTTGGATGTTTTTCTACATTTTCAAATATATTGATTTCACTTAGAACATAGAATATGTGTACAGTGCTCACTTTATATTATTTTTATTACAAATATTTGCACTGTAAAAACAAAAAATAGTATTTTTCAATTCATCTCATACAAGTACTGTAGTGCAATCTCTTTATCGCGAAAGTGCAATTTTCCAATGTAGATTTTTTTTTGTTACATAACTTCACTCAAAAACAAAACAATGTAAAACTTCAGAGCCTAGAAGTCCACTCAGTCCTACTTCTTGTTCAGCTAAGGCAAACAAGTCTGTTTACATTTACATTTACGGGAGATAATGCTGCCCGCTTCTTATTTACAATCTCACCTAAAAGTGAGAACAGATGTTCACATGGCACTTTTGTAGCTGGTATTGCAAGGTATTTCTGTGCCAGATATGGTAAACATTTGTGTGCTCCTTCATGTTTCGGCCACCATGCCAGAAGACATGCTTCCATGCTGATAACGGGTTCTGCTCGATAACGATCCAAAGCAGTACGGACCGAAGCATGTTCATTTTCATCAACTTTCTGCTGGAGGCATCTGACTCAGATGATGAAAATGAACATACTTCGGTCCGTACTTCTTTGGATCGTTATCGAGCAGAACCTGTTACCAGCATGGAAGCATGTCTTCTCGCATGGTGGTTGAAGCATTAAAGGACATATGAGTCTTTAGTGCATCTGGCACGTAAATATCTTGTGACGCTAGCTACAACAGTGCCATGCAAACGCCTGTTCTGACTTTCAGGTGACATTGTAGGAGAAGAAGCGGGCAGCTTTATTTCCTGCAAATGTAAACAAACTTGTTTGTCTGAGCGATTGGCTGAACAAGAAGTAGGACAGAGTGGACTTGTAGGCTCTAAAGTTTTACATTTTTTTAACACTTTTTTTTGCACATAATTCCACATTTGTAAGTTCAACTTTCTCGATAAAGAGATTGTACTACAGTACTTGTATCAGGTGAATTTAAAAATACTATTTCTTTTCTTTTTACAGTGCAAATATATGTAATAAAAATAAATATAAAGTGAACACTGTGTACTGTGTGCTGTAATTGAAATCAATATATTTGAAAATGTAGAAAAGAGCCAAAATATTTAAATAAATGGTATTCTATTATTGTTTAACAGCGCGATTAATCGCAATGAATTGTGATTAATTTTTTAATCGCTTGACAGCCCTAGAATAAAGTTAAGTACATGTGTAAGGATTTTTAGGATCAGATACTTGATTTCTTAATTTCCACAATCCTCTTTTCTTAACTCAAATAAACTTACATGCCTGCATCTATGAACCAGTTTCTTATTATACTGCTTCCATATAGCTTTTGGTCACTTCTCTTGTTCTTGCCTATAGAGTTCCAAAAAAGACGCCTCACAAGATAAAAATAGTTTGTTACAATGGCTGCAATGCCAATGAAGAAACAAGAATGTGAATGGAGGGGAATAGTCTTTATGGAATGGGTAACTGTAGCCACTCTGCTTAGACTTGAGCCACATTTGGTCCTGATTGGCAAACCGCAAGGTCAAAATGGCTGCCAAGCCAGGGAGACTGTTTAGCAGCGCCCATCCAGGCCTAGATACATAGTTTGGACTGCAAGTCACACTTCACCCCTGTAGAGAGAGTTAGATCTACCTCTGAGACACAGTCCAGGCAGTCTCTGCTGGAGAGTCTCTCTGTCCCAACCACACACTGAATCCAACATTTCTGTTGAATATTTATCCCTCCCT